CTTTTATATTTTAGTACCAATATTTAATTTGACTGACAACAGCTTCAGATACAGCCTTCATTTCATAATACTTGACTTGCAAATGTTACTTTTATGATTTGTTCCTTTAATATTTCTCAAGCCATGTATTAATTAATACCTAAGTTAAGTATGAGATAAAGATGCCAGGTGTACAGTTGGTTTTGATTAGCAAAGCAGGTTCAAAGTCACAAAATAACACAATTCATTAGCGATTAAGGCAATTTAAGAGAACATGGTCATCTTGTGAACAACTCATATGCTTTAATATTTCCCATTTGGCTGAACATTTGTTGATACTTATTTCTAACTTGTTGTAGGTCTAGAAATTATACAAATATAATATAAATATAAATATAAATTTTGGCAGGGTAGAAGCCATTTTCAGCTAATACAGTTTTATTTTTCTAACAAGGTACATGGGTACTCTTTGGAACAGACTGCCTACAGATGTTGTGGAGGCAGTAAATTTAAATGAATTTATAAGAAATCTTGATAACTATACAAATGCTAGGGGCTGGTCTTGAGGGTTTTTGTTTCTTTGTTTAATAGTTTTAGTTGAGTTTAGAGGATGGGACAGCCTAGATGGACGAATAGTTCCCCTGTTGTCCCATGATGTTATGTTATAATACGTATAAGGTAATGTATTCTAGTTATCATAATTTGGATCACACATTCAATACACATGGAAATGACTCAACAGCATGAAAAAAAATAAAGAGTTTAACATAGTGAAGATTAAGTGACTGAAGCCACTGAGGCGGTTTCCTGCTGCTAACAGAAAAACTAGGGCTGTAACAAAGGTTATGTTTTGACCTCTGAAGATTCCAAAGGTTTGAAACTTCAATAATACAAATTTGCAAGATATATGGATGGTGTCACCATAACTATTAGTTTATATTTGGTTAAAAACCCTTTAGTTTTATGGGTAATTTATGTAAGTAAAATAAAATATTTGCAGATAATTTTAAAATATGTTATAAAGAAGCGTAATGATGTTTTTATATTTTAAGTACAAAGTATACATTGTTTATGTACATGTATCTGATTCATGTACAATACTTGTGTACCTATATATAGTAAGCTTTCATTACAAGTGCGCTTTATTGCCACCAATTACAAGAGCCACAGTTGACTTTTCAAAGCAAAACAAATATTTATCAAATAGTCACCATTTGAAGCAGGTTAACAGTCACAGTTATTTTAAAATAAACTTGTTGATGAACTAAACATACCTATGAACATAATAAACAAACAGCAAATAGAACACTTTGACACGAACATATCAATTAGAAAATAAATATGAACCTTCAACTATAATAAAAAAACTACAAGAGACAGAGCTATTTCCAGTCATATTTTTTTGTTGACAACACTGTTGGTTAATTAAACATACACCTTGGCTAAAGCTATGACAAATGAATAAATAATTATAAACAAACAGCAACACAAAATGAAGTAATAGCAAACTTTGGTTAGAAAATGAATATGGCCCTTCAACTATAACAAAAAAGTTACACAAAATACACTGCATCTGTGAAAAGTATCCATTTTTTTAAAGTAACACATTTCTTACTTCTTGTACACTAGGTATTCTGTACATTTTCAACAATTAATACAGACACTAACTGGACCTACTGTGTATCTGTGAAGCTAACACAGTAATATTTATTTTAATTCTGAATTTCTATATGTATCTTTACAGCACCTGGCAAGCTTTTAATAAACGTTACAAGTCCACTGTATACAAAAAATTAAAGATTTGCCTGTCAATTTCCAAAGCCTTTACTGAGTGAAAGTTGATATTAAAAATAAAAATACTTTTTTTAACTTTCATCTTAGACTTTTCTTATTTCATTTACATAATATCTGAATGAATATCAAAGTTTTTCAATAAAATTATATATTCTATATGTTATTTTCTCTAACATAACATTAGTGAAATAATCAAAATACAGTGAAATGACAGTCTGAAAAATATTAAATTAAATCAAACATTCTAATATATTTTCACAATTATTTATCCTAATAGCCTCAGCTTGTAACTTTTCTGCACCTGCTTTCATTTGATTTTATGGTTTTTATTGTACTTTGAACTCTCTCAGTATGTGAAAATTTACAATTTAAAATATCTGCCACCTTGATATTTTACAATAATTATACGTTTAATTTTCTACAGCTTTAATTTACAGAGTTCATGATAATTTGTACAGTTTAGATCAAACATAACAAAACAAAAAATATAGTTCTTATTTCATAAAATGTAGCATCTTTAAACATAAGTTAAAATTTGTCAACCTGGGTAATATTAAGGTCTCAATAAAGACTTAGAAATTCTGTTTCAGCACTGTACCAGTTCTTTATAAGACAGTAATAAACAAGAGAAAAATCTTCAATGGCATGCCAGTTGCTGAAAGCTAAACAGGTTTTTAAACACTCTGAATATTTATAAACAGATCATAGTGGTGGCTATGAAGGTCATACACCCATTACATCTTATGGAAATACTGGTGGAAATATCCTGCATAGTAAAAATGCTGAGAGGGATTTAAAAAATCATGATAAAAAATCAAATTCTGTTAACGGCCTTTCAGAAGAGGAACATAAAAATGACAACATATCCTGCCACATGGGATTTGTTTGATGAGCGTCAAGGTCTTGATAGTGAAGATGATAATGAAATCAACACAGAAGATTTATATATGAACAAAGAAATCAATATTCATCATGACTTAGCGGAGCGGGCTCTTCAATTTAATATTACACATTCTGCCTTTTCTAAACTACTGACATTTCTATTCTTGTAAACTCAAAAACGCATCATTAGAATCAAGCAATTACCCATATATTGTACATCTGTGTACAATTTTCTCCAAAATAAAGTTTTTCCATAACTTTTATCATTCAGCCATAAGTTTTTACATATTGTATTTCTGTTGCAGTTGAAACTGTGCTTTTTTTGTAATCTCTGACAATTAATCTTTCAGTACTTCATTACTTCTCAATGTAATATTATAGATGAAATAGAAAGAAACATAGTCTTAGAAATGTCAATATTTGACATCACAATGAGATGTAGTTGTGACATTTCTGAGAGTCTCCACCTTTGACGTATCTGCGACATCACAATGGAACATATATAGGAGATAACCTGTGACATATTACAGAGGTCACATTTTTTGGTAGGTACTTTAACATTTTCATTACATACAGGTCTCGTTGCTATTATTTCTATTATCATGTGGCTCATATGTTCTTTGACTCTTTCACCCATTGGGGCTATGTAACTCATATTTTAACCCTAGGCATATAGTGATCCTAGTAAATTCTAAGCTATGGTCACTAGCTCTAGGTGGCATCTCTAGGATACATTCATTGGCAAACGTAGTGCTAGGTTCATAAGCTCAATGGAAAACTTTGGGTTAGAATCACTAGCTCAGTGGAATATAGATATTCCAAAAGTGTCAGAAATAGTTGAATCAAAAGAAATTTCAAGCAAAGTTAAGAGCATGACTGTCAACAAGAAAATTAAAATTATGGCAGGAAAGCAGACCTTACGTAAGATCCCTTGAAGCTTCCTCAGTAACTTATAAGGAATTTGTTAGAATGGAAAATTATGGATAACTGATGCATGCTTTTCAATGTGTAAAGGACATATGAAAACTTTGTCACGTGATTTACTGACAACTTGAGTTCAACAAGGAAAGGCTTTCAGTAATTCAGAGGTAACTTACCTGACTTGAACTTGCATACATATTTAGATTATCACATCAAGTAGTAAAAATTAATTTTATCATGTAACACCTAAAAATTTTTTCTCAGTAGTGTAATTTATAGTTACGTCGAAATGCTAATACATGGAACTCTGTGATTAATGTACTGTACTAGGAAGATGTTTTAATAAAAACCACAACTGAGGCAAACTGTAAATAACTACTTTTGAGATCTTTTAGTCAAAATGGTTGAAACAGTTTTTAGTAATAAAATATATATCACCAATAACAAAAAAACAAGATCTGAGGTTCATATGTAATAGCCCTGAAATATGCAAAGTTTAATTGTAACACTAGATGAATAAAATGGAACAGTTCTTGAGTCACATTAAATATAGAAAGCAAAATTTAGTGTGGTAGAGATGTGAGTTATATATCACAGCGTGTTTAACGTGTAGCATACAATATGATAAAAACTGGACCGGGTTCATTATCTCAGTGGCAAACTATAGGCTATCATCACTAGCTCAGTGCAAACTCTTGGCTAAGATTATATTCGTTACCTCAGTAACAAACTTTGGTCTAGGTTTGTTATCTCACTGGCAAACACTGGGCTAGGTTCACTAGCTCAGTGCAAATACTGGGCTATTGTCATTGGCTCAGTGGCAAACTCTGTGGCTAGGTTCTTTAGCTTCATGACAAATTATGGGCTAAGATCACAAACATAGTACAAGATCTAGGCTATGGTCATTATTTCAGTGGCAAACTATGCATCAATGACAAACTCTCAGTTAGATTCATTAGTTTGGTGGCAAACTGTGGGTTAGACTAATTAGTCCAGTGACAAATTCTAGGTTAGGGTCAGTGCAGATTCTGGGCTACATTTACTGGCTCAGTGGCAAACTTGGTACTAGGTTCATATGCTTGGTGGCAAACTGTTAGAATCATGAGCTCAATGGTTCTGTGATAATGGTGTCCACATAAATTATAGTATATTTTTACATTTTGAAATTTATTTTGTATCTTTGTATATTTATGAGGTATTCTAACAGTAAATGTGGGAATATATTACTCTTAGATAATCAGCTACTAGAAACCAATTTTATAAAAAATAGAACAAAACTTAAAATAAGAGTACTTGTCAAATCATGCATTATCACCAGAACTGATACAACTCAGTTGGGCCTTGAAAATGTTTTAATTCATACTGCAAAAATCTACAGAACCACAGCATGAGTTTAATAACAAGAAAAATTACATAATGTATACCTAGACTGAGCTGTAAGTGTACTGGCAGAACCATTCTTCTGAAAAACTGCTTGAAGAGTCTCACTCTCAATAACTGGAATATAAAATGTTTTCACCATTCCTGCAGTTAAGAAAACATTTAAACTGAGAATTGATACATTTAATACACATGCTGCACACATTAGAAGCTTTAATGATCATTTTGGAAATGAGATGTAGCTTTCATAAGATATGTAACATTAGTAATAAAAACAAGACATTTTATTACTAAAAAGAAAAACAACAGAAAATACATATATAGAATATACAAAGAAATACATAAATTGTAATTACTCAGCAGAAGTTTGTTTGTTTG